CACACACACACACACACACACGTATATAAAATTCAGCAGCGTAGCCATCGGTGCGTGCGCCATGTTCCGAAGGAAGGCCTCGGCGGTGGTGCGGCGCACGGTGCTGGAGGTGGTCGGCAAGGCGCACGAGACGGACGAGTCGCTCACGCAGATCCTGCACTCCTTCCGCGACGCTGCTGAGCCCTTCTCCGACCTGGACGAGACAATTGAGAGCAGCACACCGAAGGGCCCTCGTGTGGCGGCGGCGGCTCCAGTGTCGTCCCCCGCCATCCTTACCTCCAGGAGCTTCTCCGCGTCGCTGACGTGCCCCAAGAAGTTCCACCTGCTGCAAAACCGACAGGACTTGATCCCACACATTTCTATCGGCGACGCGGTGTATCTTGACGACGCGGCCGCCTTCAATGAACTCGCGCGGCGGTGGGACCGCCTGCAGTTCGGTAGTCGGGCAGTCGTTGTGCAGGAGCGCGACTTTGACCAGGCGGTGCAGCGGACANAATGAACTCGCGCGGCGGTGGGACCGCCTGCAGTTCGGTAGTCGGGCAGTCGTTGTGCAGGAGCGCGACTTTGACCAGGCGGTGCAGCGGACAGAGGACGTCCTCGTAAAGTATTTCCAGACATTGCACGCGCAGCTGGGAGAGCAGGCGCCGTCGCTCACAATTCACCGTCCAGCATTTGCCGCGCCGTTCGGCGGCGACACGTCGGTGCCCAACGCAACACACCCAGCAGTGCTGCGAGCCCGCCCCGCAGTGCTGCGATTCCGCCCGAAGGACAACCAGTGGGTAATACTTGAGACGGCTGCCGTTGTGGATCCATTCAGCAACGCCACACGCCTCTCACAGTGCCTTCAGCGCTTGCACTTCACGACTCTCGCGTTCCGCTACTGGGTGACGCAGCCACATATACCGATACAAATACGCAAGAGATTCCTCACCATTGACCTTGATAGCGTCACGGAGGAAAATCTTAAAGGGCACCGTCTGGAATCTACAGCAAAGGTGGCGGTACCGCTCGATTTAAAGCGTAGTGGTTTCTTGCATATTCGGCAGTTTTTCCCCGGTCCGGTGACATTGATGGACTGTGATCCGTCCCGTCTAGTGAAGTTCGTGCAGCGGCTTTCCCTGGAGGACATGCTAGAGACTGAAATGAACTCCAACTCCCGATCAGCCGGGGCCTTCGACTTGAGTAATATAGGCCTCTGTGATCCGCACATGGCAGAACTGCAAAAAGAAGTTGGCGCAATGCAGAAACGGGGGAAGGAACACCGACACATGGGAAATAGCACCTCCAGTCGAGTCTCAAAGAAGAAGGATATGGAACTGCGGGAGCTTTTCGCGGCGCAACAGAGACTTATGGAGATGCTCATCACTACCCATACTCTAAAGCTTATCGAAAAGAGCCGCGATGCCGCGAGTATAAAGAAATGGACTACGTTTGCAAATCTTGACAATGAGTTCGTGAAAGCCACCTTCAATGACGAGGAGGAAAGCGACACGGTGGGAAAACAAAATAGTAACGAGAAAAAAAGCTCCCATCGCAACAAGAAGAAGGAACAGGCAGCTGATATGAAAAATAGCAGCAGCAGTGACAGCTCAGGCGGTTCTGGTGCCTCTTGCAGTAGGCCGCTTTGTGTGCCGGTGTACTCTGAGTTCATCGGCACTCATTGTTCTCGCGGCGACACGTGCCCTTTCTTCACGGAAGGGATGTGCCTGCCGAACAAGTTCGACGATCCGCTGAAGCAGCGCGACAACCACCTCTTCACGATCCCATCCACCGCCGTCTCGCGCAAGGCGCTCTGGTGGACTCAGGGCCTCCGCACCGCACGTGATGTGCTCTACGAGTATAAAAGGGGGACGGTGAAGTTGACAGCGCCGCAGTTACGCCACGTGAAGGCGGTTGCAGCGGGTATGCTGTGCGTAAACCCGAAGGAAATTGAGGAGTTCTTCGCTCGCATCCGATACCCTGCCTTTCTTATTGACTTTGAGGCGACTCAGTTCGCTCTGCCGCCGTTTGAGAAGGTTGTTGCGTATCAGCCAACCCCGTTTCAGTTTTCCCTTGACGTGTTCCAGCACGACATCCTCAATGAGACGCCGAAGCACTACGACTTTCTGCACTTCGGCAAGGGATACTCGCCCAACGTCGACCCACGACGTGGCTGCGTTGAGGAGTTGATGCGCGTTGTACGTCTCGAACGCGAGAAGAAGCGGCAGGAGATGGAGACATCTGGGGAGCTTGAGAGAATGGTGAAGCAGAAACAGCAGCAGGAAGAGGAGGAAGAGGCTGCAAAGGGGAAGAAACGACGCGGACGTGCGCCGGCGAAGCCCAAGAAGCCTCTTATTACAAAGGGCAACCCATTGGTTGAACCTGTCCACCCGTACGACGGCTGCTTTATCGCGCACTTCGCCAGCTTTGAGAAGTCGTGCCTTGAGAAGCTGGGGCAGCTGGTGGACGAGTACAAGGACGACATCAAGCAGTTCTACTTTCTGGACACGCTAGATTTGTTCAAGCGGGGTCTCGTCCATCCCAACGCACATGGCTCGAACTCACTAAAGAAGGTCCTCCCAGCACTCTGTCCGGACTTTCAGTATGGCGTTTTTGGCGAAGAAATTGGCGGCGACGACACCAGTGACGCGGACACCGACGGTGGCGGTGGCGGCGGCGGCGGAAGCGGACGCCAGGACGAGCAGAAGGGTGAAAACGCAATGGGTGTGTACCGCTTGTGGTATCACCACGAGGGTGGTGGCTCGCTAAAGGACTTGCATCAGATTGCCGCGAGAGACCGTCAACAACAACGCCGTGGTGAGACTGAGCAGGAGGTGGAGGCGTCTGTGCCGCCGGCCCGGCCGGACGTGCGCGACAAGGCCTGGGCAATGCTGCGGATTCAACTTCTCGAGTACTGCTCACTGGACACAAAGGCTTTGTACGAGATTATGCGGCAGGTGTGGCGTGAAAAGGAGGCCGCAAAGGGGATGAAGCCTGATAAAGGCGGCTGGGTGATGACGAGCCCGCTCCCACGAGAGTACAACTTGTGAGTAACCTACCACAGGGGCAGTAGCAATAGCATGAAGAGTGCGAAGGGGGGAGACGGGGAAGGAGGGAGCAGGAAGAAGAGGTGCCACAAAAATTTCATCAATGTTTGAATGCGAGAGGCGCTTTTGTTCCTATCCCAGTGTTGCACTGTAGTCGCTTCTACTGTGTGGTCACAGAGGGAAGAAAAGATGGAGAGAGAATAACACAAAAAATATGTGCTTCTCTTCTTTTTTTAATCCCATTCTTCTACTTCGAAGCAGGCCGCTATTACCAACAGCTGTCTTTTCTCTCCTTTTTTCTAAACATACCGAATATTTCTGTTGCGCTTGTTGTTGTCGCTGCTGCTAGACTCACTCATTATCACTCCATCCCGTGTCTCATCCAATTATGAAAAACCAATCAAGTGGCACTGAAGTGGCCAGGGTTTTTGTGGTCCGGAGTCTGAAAACACACGGAAAGAAAGAAATTTCTTGGCATATATGACGGCAGTCGTCATGTGTGACGGGGCGGCAGCCGCCTCCAAAGCTATTGGATGGGCTGCTATTCCAGGCCACTTGATGCGGCAGCACGACGGGGAGCAGCTTATCCTGTTGCACGTGTGGGGCAAAGAGAGCCTGCAGCGGCCGGCGGCAGTGAAGGATCTAGAGAAGGTGCCACAGCTCCCGGATGATCCAGCAGCGTTGTACCGCATCTCGCCCTCGCTTGTCGTGCAGAAGACACTGGAAGCAATCACGGAGAGCAAGGTCACACGTGACTCACTCAACTATAAACTAGAGACGATGGCTCTGTGTGAGCCCGCAGTAACGCCGCCACCGCCGTCGGCTCCAGCACCGCAACCATCGGCCTCCTCCAAGCTGGCGGTGGGAGTGAAGAAGGAGTCGGAGCCGCAATCGGTGGTGCTGACAGATGCAGAAATTGAAGCGGCAGCTAGGGAGGCCGCAGAAAAGGCCGCTCAATGTCATGCCAACGCCATCGCCCTGTATGCGCATGAACGTGCACTCCATCACCAAGCCAAGGCCATTCTGCTGGGGTCTGGCAACCGCGTGGAGGGAAAAAATGTTGTTGTTGGCCACGTTGGCAGGGCGGCGCTCAACACACTTCGGCAAACACACGCCCTCTGGTTCATCAAAAGTAACGGCTGTACACTTCGATCTGGTACCACCCAACTTCGCTACGTCGTCGTGCTCGTACCGAGGCCCGGTGACGCTGAGTCCCTCGCGAGAGACTGCTGTGTGGTACAGTACGCGCTGGGGCGCTGTCGGGAGAAGAGCAGCGACACCGTGAGTGCCGTGGTGGTTGCCGAGGGAGGTACACTGCCGGAGGATGTAGAGCGACACACGCAGGCGCTACAGGCACTTCTCCGGCGAGACACACCGGCACCTGTTCCAGAAGGTCAGAATGACGAAGGCGTTGCTGACTCTGCAACCGCCACCGTGTCGCTGCCGTCACCACCGCTTCAGCAAGAGGAGGAAGAGCAGCAGCCAGAAAGTGCTGAAGAGGCTGTGGATGAATCGTCCACACCTCGTGTTGTTGTGTCAGCAGTGGGGGAGACGCCAGCACCCGCTGAAGAGGCCGACGATGTAGCGGAGAAGGAGCAGTGGCCAGAGGTGTCGGTGTGTCATCTGCGCGCTACCAAGCAGGTGGTAATGCCGACAGCAAGAAGCTTACCGATACAGATTGTGAAGTTTCTCCAACGACACAAGACGGACGTGGTGGTGTTGCCGTCGACCGTTCCGGAGGAGCTTCAGCTTGCGCTCCTTGCCACGTCAAAGCAGCACGTTCTTGTCGTGCCGTCGGCTGAGCCAATGCATTGCTCCAGCGAAGCAACAGAGTTGCCTGTGGAGACGGCTGAATGTACAGAGTGAGCCTTGCCCCTCGACTTCTGTGGGTGTGGCGTCATTATGAGGTTGTGGCAGAAGTCACCACATTCCCTTCCCCGCCCGCCCCCTAGAGCCATTCTCCTTTCTTTATATTGCTTTCTTTGTAATGCTGTGTTTTTTTTTTATTTATGCTCTCTCTCTTTCTCTCTCGTGTTCCCCCTAATACAAGGTCAAACAACATGGCGGAACCCGTGATAGCGAAACCGCGGAGGTCGACGGCAGCAGCAGTTTTAGGTGTCGAAACGCTGTCGGCATTCATGCTGACGCGTGAGGAAACCGCAACAACAGCTGCCAGCACGTCTGTCTCCGCTGGTGCAGTTCCAACAACCCACGTTCTGCGAGATGACGCTCCGGCCTCGGTGGTGCTGTCACGCTGGAGTGGCAGCCTGAGTCCAGGAAAGCTTCAGCAGAGCCTAAGAACGGAATCCAACGACCTGAAGGACGATAAAGGTGGAGAGACGGGAAGAGAATGCTCCACCGAGCGTCGTCAGCGAAACGTAGTGGTTCAGCACAGCCCTATCAAGGCAGATAGTGGAAGCCATCACAGGCGCACGACCCGCGCAAACCTGCCTAATGGAAATGCGCCGTATCTCTCCCCTCCAGTGTCGGGAATGCGCGAGACGTCTCTGATGCCCCACAGCGCGGCGAAGCAGCCGTTTTTTTCTAACATGATACACCGCGCCGAAAACGTGCAGCTGCATCGACTTTGTGAAGGGTTATTTGCTGACTCGCAAAAAAAAGGCGACAAGAATGGTGGTAGATGTACAGCGAGGCGGCGCTTTCAAAAGAACAATGTAGAAGTAGACTTGGAAGGTGATGGGGGGAAGGATGCTGCCCCCACCACTACCCTTCACTCCCCTCTGTCGTTGCTGCGGCTGATAGACCTCGAGCGCCCCAACAGCAAGGGCGGGCAGCTGAGCGTTCGCCCCAGTGCCGCCAGGACAAAGCATGCGCGGGTGCAGCACAAGGTGGTGAATCTCTCTCTCTGCAAGTACCCCCTTCTCCGCGCCATCGCCGAGGAGAAAGGGTTCAAGACACAAGAGTCAGAGGAGGAGTTGGAGAAGAATCAGTTCAACCTTGTATGGTCCGATACCGTGCTCCCACTCACACGTCTGGTACGGTTGGCGAGCTGGCAACGCACCAATCACTTCCCTGCCATGCACCTGTTGTGTCGTAAAGGGCATTTGGGCATCACGCTTGGCCGGATGCGGAAGTTGTTTCCCACGCATTACACATTCTACCCGCGGACGTGGTCACTGCGTAGTGAGCGGCACCAGTTCCAACGTTTTATGATGGCACTGCGAAACAAGAAGGTGCCGAAGTTTTTTATCATGAAGCCGAACGCGGGGTGCCAAGGAAGAGGCATACTTATCACACGGGACCCGCTGAATGCGGTGGATGACGTCGACAATTATATTGTGCAAGAGTACATCGCAAGGCCGATTCTACTCGAGGAGCGCAAGTTCGATCTCCGCGTGTACGTTCTGCTAACGTCTATTCGCGCACCATCCATATTTCTTTTCAATGACGGACTCGTTCGTCTCTGTGCAGAACCGTACGAAAAGCCAACCGATAGCAATGCTCGCAATACATGTAAGCACCTAACAAACTACGCCGTCAACAAGCATAGCCCAGAGTACGTGTTTAACGACAATGCTGACAGTGGCAATGTTGGCAACAAGCGCAATTTTAAATTCCTGAATGAATGGCTAGATTCCTCGGGAAACTCCTCGGAGGTCTTCTGGTCGCGCGTCGCACATGTCATATGCAAGACCATTCTTGTTGCGCAACCACAGATTGCCAACGTCTACAACTCATGCTTTCCGCGGCAGAATGACGGCTACAACTGCTTCGAAGTTCTCGGCTTCGACATTCTCATCGACCACCAGATGAAACCCTGGTTGATGGAAGTAAACCACACGCCGTCGTTCGCCACCGATACTCCACTTGACTATGAAATCAAGCATGCCCTCCTCGAGGAGGTGTTGGATATCATTGATGTTCGAGCGACAGATCGGAGACGCGGCGAGAAGAAGGAACGAGAAGAATTTGTGCAGCGTGTGATGCGGAAGCCGGTAGGCATGGCAGCATCGGCGCACAGGGGTGGTGGTGGTGGTGGTGGTGCCTCTGAAGTGATGAGCTCATCACCCAGCACCTCTTCCTTGTTCCAGGTGCAGCAACCATACATGTCGACAACTGGAAGCATGGGAACACTGGAGCAGGCGGCAGAGTTTGCAAAGTTAATTGAGGAGCGCCGCGCCCACGAGGATTCAAAGCTTTGCGGCTTCAGGCGCATATATCCCACCCAGGATGCGGAGCACCAGCTCGTGTATGACGCTGTCCTTTCCCAGGCCTGTGCTCAGTGCACGTCACCACAGCCGAGTTGGATGAGCTCGCCCACGCCCTCTTCACCTCAGGTCTCTGATGAGCGCCACCGTCGCATGGACAACACGCCAGGGAGCTTCGCCCTGCCGCAGCGTCTCCCGACATCAGCGGCGTCAACCGATGCAGGGGTGGCAATATCATCACCCCACAACAGCTCGGTCACATCCAATCTCTCCAGGGGGATGCAGATGCAGAAACTCCGTGAAGAAATGACGCACAGTCGGCGCAACGGCAAACCGGCGCCGCGGGTGAGGCCCGTCGTCAGCAGCGCCGTCCGCGAGCGGAGCGGAGGCGCCACGGGCCACGACAACAGCTACACTGTGGAGGTGCCGCCACCGCCGCCGCCGCCACAACTCTCCTCGTCTTCAGTTCATGCAGGAGCTGTAGAGCCGGCACCGGAGCAGAAGCGCCCGATCCTCGAGCGTCTGTGTATTCTGCCGGATGCAGACAACCAGCCACCGAAGGTACACGTTATCGTTGCGAAGCTGACGCCTGTTAGCACGAAGCCCGCACCACCCGATCACTCAACCTCCACGGCAGAGCGCATTGAGGAGCTGCGAAACCTTCAGGAGCAGCTTGAACACGAAGCGGAATGTGAGTTGTCGCAACTGCAAGGTAGCGATGGTGAAGATTCATTCACATTGGGTGAATAATAGATGCAGGTGTTTTTTAAGCTGTGACTCAGTAGTCCTTGTTTTGATCATATTTAGTCACCGTTGTAGCAAAGAGGAAGCCAGAGTGTTACACTAAAGACGAGTCTGGGAAACGTGCAATCCTTACCGAAAAGGGGACTAGAGTGTAAGTGGTTTCACGTGCTACCTTAGGCTGAGTATTGGCGGCGATGCCACTCTACTTCACGTACAGGTACAGCAAAGAGCTTTCTTTTTCTCTCTTTTTTTTCACTTTTACTCATCTGTACTCACTCACATTCTGACTTTCTGCTTTTTTTTTCTTTTGTATCTTCCCTACTCAAGGCACCAACTCGCGCACATGTGTGTGCCTCACTTCCCTGTCCTCCACTCACCCACCCCTTTGCGCTCTGGCGTCTGGAGAAAATGTGTGCTAGAGTGGTGAAGAAATGTGTCAAAAATGAATGCAGCGAGAAGTGTAAGCTTAAGAAGCTCAGTGGGTAAATGTGTGCCAGTAGATCAAGGACACGTTGGTTGACAAGCAATCAGACGAATGATAGTGGTCACGATGATAACGACTATGAATGTACGCATTTGAGTGTCGTGCACTCTGTTACTTCATCTTGGCCTGCACCGACCCTTGAAAGGGCGGTTTTCTGTGGTCACCCTACACCATATTTCTCTTGCAGCAATCGTGAATATAGGTTGGTGCATTCTTTTCAGACGCTTCGGTGTTTTTTTTTTCTTCCCTATTTGTGTGACTTCTTTCTGTTTGTGGGAAGGTGCGGCGTAAAGCTGGGTAGCCATGAACTCAGGAACAACGCGCCACGTCATTGACCTGGCATCCGCAGCAACGCTTCCTAGCAACAACAACAAGAACAGCAGCAGAGACAGTAGTAGTAGTACTAGTACTGGAAGCAGTGCAAATTATCACAATGCCCCGTTTTCTTCGTCGCCCTCCTCTCTCTCACCAATATCGCCCCCGCCACGTTCTGAGACGGCAGTGTTAGTGGGGTCAAGCAGAGCGTTGCCAGTGCGTGACTCTGACCCCAAATCGCCTCCATTACGTGAAAAAACGCGAACACCTATGGCGGTGGAGCTTCTGCCGGTGGACTCCGACAGCATTGCACGTCCCGGTCCGTCCCGTGCTTCGCATCTAGGAGACGGCAAGCACAGTAGGGAAGCACCTTTGAGGCGAGTATCGGTTGCTGCTTCTTCTGGTACTGGTACTGGTACGACAACAATAGACGCGCCTGGCATGGTAAACCCTCCAAGGTACCGGCTGAAGCATGGCAATTCCGAGGGCCAGTTGAAGGGCGCTAGTTTCGAGTCAGCTGCAGAGCGTGCTGAGCGACGTGACTGGGCACGCAGCCTGCAGCGCTGTTTGTTGGAAACTGAAGCGGAGTTGCAAGAATCCCGCTCCGTCGTTAAGGCACGTGAGCGGGAGGCCCTCGTGGCCTCCAAAGAATTGGCACGTCTTCGTGAGATGGTGTCCTGGCAGGCGCAACGCATTTCAGAACTGGAGCGGGGCCTTTCGAACGCGCACCTCCCCGATGATTGTGGTGGAAAGGCAGAGGCAGTCAAAGGGGGTGGGGCTGCTGCCGTTTTCCCGTCCACTGCTCTGGGTGGGGTAGACAATGGCGTGTCCCTCGACGGCCTCTCTCCCTCTGATGTTAAGCGTGCCGTTCACGCCGCGGTGGAGATGCTGAGTGGCATTGAGGCGCAGTACCAGGCGGAAAAGTGTCGGCGGCGGGCCCTTGAAAAGGAAAATGACGCACTTCGTCAACGTCTGTTTCTTTCATGGCGAAGGGAAAAGGGCGTTCACGACATCCCCAGCCTTTCCTGTGGTGATGAGACGCATGCCTGTCCTGTGGCATTCGTGCAGGGCCCGTTGCGGCGATTCCTGGCGGAGGCTGCGGAGATGCAAGCGAAAATAAAGATGCCCCCCGCGAGCCGCGCGCATGTACAATCCTGAATCTCTTTTTGAAGAACCCCCTGATATCCATCTACATTAGAAGACGAGGAAAGTCATTAACGCCTGTGTCTGTGTGTATGTGCGTATACGTTTGTCGCGCTTCTTTGAATGGCGCTGTTTTTTTTTTTTTTNTTTTTTTTTTTTTTGCTCATCCTTTCAATTTGCTCTTTCTTTCCCTTCCTTAATATGACTTGCCCCTACACGCAAAGCAGAAGAAATGCCCCCTAAGCGTGGCACCACGTCTCGTGGAGCGCGACGTCTCGAGACGCCGCGGAGCGCACGCAACAAAAGCTCAGCGGCAGACGATGGCAGCAGCAGCAGCACCCCTCGAAAAGCAGCAGAAACCACAGCAGCGCCGGCTGATGAAGTGCCCCTGTCGCCGCCACCGCAACAGCCAGCGGCTGGAGGAGAGGTGTTTGATGAGGGTGTTCCGTCGACTGCTGCTGGCACAACTATGTCGTTACGGGATGAGATCATTTGGAGCGACGACGATGAGGATGATGATAATGATGTATTCCTCTTTCCTGACGCGCAGGAGCTCGTGGGCGAGCCACTGCCCGATCAAGACGTCATTCGTGTCGGCACAACACAAAAGTTGGACGAATCGGACAGCAGCGAGGACGAGGCAACACTAAACCGTGTGGGCGACATCCCAATTGAGTGGTACAAGGACGAGGCGCACTACGGGTACGACATTGAGGGCCGCAGGCTGATGAAGAGCGAGCGCTCCGCGCTTGAGCGCCTCTTAGACGCGACGGATGACCCCAACGCGATGCGCACCATCTACGACGCCCTGCATGACGAGAAAAAGGTGTTGAGCAATGCCGACCTGCAAATGGTATTCAACCTGCAGCGCAATCGCACACCAAACGCAAAATACGACATGTACGCGGATGTAGTGACTGACACGGTCGAGTTTGACCCGCTCAACCATCCACTGGCACGTGGAAGCGGGCCTTCCAAGAAGAAGTTCCTTCCGGCAGAGCACGACCTGAAGGTTATTGCGAAGATGGTGCGCCGCCTGATGAAGTCGGGTGACACAGCGGAAGACGAGAAGAAAGACGACAATGCGGCGGATGAGCCTCTTGTGCTCTGGGACGACAGCAAGGTGGACATGGACACCCACACGAAGTTCAAGTATCAGAATCGCGTGCCAAAGTCGAAGGTGCCGCCGCCAGGAACGTACGAAAGTTACCGCCCACCGCCGGAGTATCTCCCGAGCGAAAAGGCACAGCAGCGATTTGCCCGGCTCCGTGCAATTGACAAAAAAGAGCACTTCCTTCCACATGCATTCAATGCGCTGCGTCATGTGCCCTTCTATCACCACACCATTCAGGATCGCTACCAGCGATGCCTTGATCTTGCCTTCTTCCCACGCGCGCAGCGCACTCGCCTTGTCGTGGATCCGTCGAAGCTGCTTCCAGAACTTCCGGACCCAAAGGATCTGCGGCCTTACCCCGAGCGTCTCTCGTTCCAGTACAAGGGCCACACGGCGACGGTACGCAGCGTGTCTGTCAGCCCCAACGGGCAGTATCTCGCGACTGGCTGCGACGACCACTTAGTGCGTGTGTATGAGGTGCTGACGGGTCGCCTGATGAAGCGGTATGATATGGGTGCACCGGTGCAGCAGGTTGAATTCTGCCCAGCTAAATCGCTCAACATCTTGGCGGTTGCGGTGGAATACAGTCTTGTGTTCATTGTGCCCAAGTTTGCCGCCCATCAGTTGGTGAACGAGCACACGTTCCGCCACCTCCGCGCTCCTGGAAGCGCTATGATCGGCGCGAACAGTGAACACGTGGTCGGTGGAGAAGTGTCGTTGGGAGGAGGCGGCATAACACAAACCACAATGGATAAGGATGAGACGGCCCACCGCATCCTGCAGGACTTGCACGACACCGAGGAGCGCGAGAAGCGGGCGGAGTTTGTGGATGCATCGGCGCAGGAACGCAGCGCTGGCATCGTTGTCAAGATTGCGCTGCACGGAAAGGTGAGACGTTTCACGTTCCACGCCCGCGGCGACTATCTTTGCGCCCTCTGCCCGAAGGATCACGTCAAATACCGCCAGACGGTGATGCTGCAGCTGTCCAAGCGAAAGGTGTTCTGTCCTTTCCGCAAGTTTTCAGAGGTGGTCACGGACTGCAAGTTCCATCCACGCGAGCCGCTCTTCTTCCTAGCCACGACTAACTCGGTGCGGATGTACAACCTCATGGCGCACAAACTGCAGCGCCGCTACAAGGCCCCAGGTGGTGTCACGACCTGTCTGTCGGTGCACACGGAGGGTGATAACTTTTTGGTTGGCGACACAACGAGCCACACACAGTGGTACGACTGCGACTTCTCCGATAAACCCTACAAGCGCATGCGCTCCCACAAGGGTGTGGTCAATGCCGTAGGGTTCCACGTGAACACCAACGCCTATCCGCTCTTTGCCTCGGGTGCGTCGGACGGCCAGGTCCACATCTTCCACGGCATGGTGTATGACGACTACAACAAGAACCCACTGCTAGTGCCAGTGAAGATACTAAAGCACCGCCGAGCGGTGTACTCCCTCGCATGGCACCCCACGCTACCGTGGGTGTTTACCTCGACTGAAGACGGCATTGTGTCGGCGTGGACTGAGTGAAGGGTGTGGGTGGAGCGGTTTCACTCATTGAATAAAGGAGCTGAGCAACAGCGAAAAAAAAAAAGAGAAAGAAAGGGAAACAAGGTGTGAAGAGGATTAATCTCGCTAATACCGAATAAACAGTAGAAGGTGTAACTGATGCTGAGAAGTCTGAGAGGCCAACGGGGAAAAAAATCCATAATTTCGGTATGTGACTCCTTTACATGATGTGCCTCCTTTTTTGTATGTGCTATGCCTCTCTTTGGATTTCTTTTTGTGAACAAGAAGCCAAAAAACGGGCGGTTCGTTTAGAGATGTCAGTGCTGTTCAAGCGTATCACGCCGCCACGCGTCAGATTCTCGGAGTACTGCATCAAGGGGGATGTCCATGAGCTTGCGGACTACATCGTGTGTCTTCTCCTCACAGAGCTGCCCGGTAACCCCTGCGGCGCTGTTGCCGAGGCGTTGGATCGGTGCCAGTGGGAGGGCCGCAACGCCTCACAGCTAAAGGAGCTGCGCATGGCGTACGATGCGTACAGAAGGTTTCGTCAACGTGATACCATGGGGCGTGCTTCTTTGTCCACACTCTCGCCGTCCGTCGTTGACTACGTGCAGTACCACGGCATCGCCATGCTGCTGGAGGAGTGGCTATTACATCTAGAAGAGCAGCAGCCGGTAGATGCGCTTGCATCCTCTCGACTGTTTTTTTTTGGCGAAGCACAAAGCTGTGCGGGAGAATCACATACGCAAGCCAACGTGAGTGAAGCAATACCTCAGTGATACCACCATCGTGTGCACTGATCTTGCGAATGGCAGCCTGCAGCAATAGGACAGAACAGATCCTGTTGGCTGACGCAAATGAGGATGCGAGTGTGAAAGACTTTCTATACCCTCTGACAATGTGATTGGAACCCAGTGATCATTTCCCGAGTTTGTGGTCATACATATCGCCTGCTGTTACATTATCGGAAAAGTTGTTTGGTGTGCTACATATACACAAGGATATATATATATATATATATATATTTGCACGTCCACCAGGTGACTAAGAGGAAAAGAAATATAAAAAATGGTGCTTTACATTTATTTCGTTACTTTTTATCCTCTTATGTGTCTTTTTTTGTCGTTCTTGTTGTGNGAGGAAAAGAAATATAAAAAATGGTGCTTTACATTTATTTCGTTACTTTTTATCCTCTTATGTGTCTTTTTTTGTCGTTCTTGTTGTGGTTGTGGTTCTTCTTGTGAGACTCATCAATGGAGGCCGCACCAAAAAGTCACAATTATGATGATGACGTGAGCAGGCGACGCACACACATCGCCATCGCCGTGTGTGGCTGTGGCCACGATGGCCGCCTCGGCTTGGGGTCGTGCGACTCGCAGAGCCGTGTTACGCTCATTCCCTTCTTCCTGTCTGGCAACAACAACGACGTTGACAATCAGTTGGTTGGCACCATCCGTGCAGTGCGTGTCGGTGGATACCACAATTTTGCCATCACTACAACAGGCGTGTACGGGTGGGGGCTGAACGAGAATGGGCAGCTCGGTCTGGGCCACGGCTCACCAGCGTACGTGCCGCTTCCCATGCGCATCCCGTTCTTCGATAAATCTGACGTCATTGAAATTGCGTGCGGCGCCTATCACACATTTGCGTGGACACATGAAGGCCTGTTCGCGTGTGGCAAAAATGAAGATGGCCAGCTCGGCCTCTCGGGCGAGAAGGACCATATCGAATTCACGACTGTACTAACAGCCGCACAGGCAAACAACAGTGATGCAACAGGACACGAAGTGAATGGAGGTTGCCGCCTGATTCGGCGGGGACAGCTGACACACGTGAGCTGTGGCACGCACCACACACTGCTGGCCTTCCGTGACGTTGAGGTAGAGAGGGAAAAGGACAGTGAGGTACAGAAGCAACACTACCCGATCCTCATCGCAGCGGCGGGGAAAGGCGACTTTGGCGAGCTCGGCTACGACGGTGACGCATGGTCTGTGCTGCAGGCGAAGGCAAAGTCTATGCAGGCGGCTCTGCGTGCCGACGCGCAGCAGCATCAGCAACAACAACACGATAACGATTCCACTGTTACTGTCCAAGGACTCCCTGAGAAAAAATGGAAGCCACTGAAACAGCGCCGGGCAGTGTTTTCATCCGAAGCTTTCCAGCCGGTGGGCCTCCCGCTGCTGCTTGAGCGGGCTGCAGCGTCATCGTGTGTGTGTCCCTTCGAAATTGTCAGTCTTCACGCGATGCACTTGCACTCAAGTGTGGTCTTGCGCGACACTTCCGCAGTGGAGCGTGACGCAGGTGTCGGCTGCATGCAAACGTTCCACTGGGGTTGCTACTATTGCAATGCCGTTGAGGACGACGCGTCGTCTATCCCACGGAGTGCAGGCGAAGAAGTGTGTTTGCATGCCGGCAACGAGACGCTCTTCCGCTACAATGCCGCCACCGCACCCTGTATGAGAGTGGAGGTGATGGGAAGCGGTGTTCTTGGACTTGGGGAAGAAGACTCGTTTAAGACGGTGTGGGTGCCGCTGCCGTTGCCGCCTGAGGCGGAAGGTCACCGTGTGAGCGCCATTACCGGGCGAGAGCACTATCTCATTCTGCTCAACGACACTTTGGTGGTGGGGTTCGGTGATAATATGTTCGGGCAGCTCGGTGTGGATGACAAAATGATAGATGTTGTGCTGCGTCCTACTGTCGTGCTTCGAGTGGGGGACCACCTGCGGAGTCCTTCTGCCGCCGATGGTAATGGGGAAAGTGTGTGGGGTGTGGAGAGCATTCGAGATGTGGGGTGTGGGGTGCGGCACTCCGTGTTCCTTGTTGAGGTCTACCGCCAGCCCGCCGATGTCACCGCAGAGGCTGATGCTGTGGTGAAGGGGCGGGCAGTGCTGTAGCCTGGGAGTGTAGAGAGACTATTAAAAGATACAGAATGTGGGTTCTGTGCGTGTGTGTGTGTGTGTGATGCGGTTGCATGCCGCTTGCAACAACTGAATCCCCACTTAATTTGCTCTCTCACATAAGTGTTGTTGTTTTTTTCCTCTCTCGCTTGGTTTACTTCTTTTGGCTTAGCAGTATCCAAACGTACAGCAGGCAGCAGGATAAGAGACAGGAGGGAGAGGGAACTATTCTGTGATTTCCTTCTCTCTTCCTCTTGGCGATCCCCGCCTTGACCTAACTGCAAACAAGAGAGCTGCTGTGGGGGGTCTGCTTCAGGAACCTCTGTCTAATTCTCGCTATTTCACAGACACACGTATATATATATTCACGCCAGCCCACACGCTTATGCTGCGCGGTTTCTGTGGGCAACCCGTCAGACGGTGCGGCGCTGGCGTCACAACGAGTGTGGCTCTTTGGGCCACGCTCTGGCGGCGCAGCAGCACCCTTACCAGCTCCTCGGCGGATCTCACTGTTCATCGCGAACTTATTGAGGAACTTCAGAGCCTTCTCGAGCGTGTTCCAGCGGACAAGTGGATTCCGGTCGGATCACTCTACAATGACCTCTCCCTTGACAGCCGGCGACGTCACGTCCGCCCGCACAAGACACTGGCGGCGGCACTGGTGAAGGCGACGGAGCTCGGTGTTTGTCTAAACCAAAACGGTCTAATGTTTTGCAAAGGGAACCCACCAAAAGAGCTTGACACACCAAAGAAGGGGACAACCACCATTATGAGTAACAGCAGCAGTATTGGTGCTAAGGATGAAGAAGGTGAAGGTGATGGTAGTGCTAGTTCGAACTACATGAATAGCGTCATTGTGCAACCGGACAGTCGAATGGTGGCCGACAGTTTTGGTGGGATGCCGCCGGTAGATTTCTACTACGATGTGGGCCTCCGCCAGTACCCACCTCCGCCACCTGACTTCGATGTCACAGCGTCAACGCTACCGCAACCCACAGCAACAGAGGGCGCTGGGGTTCTCTCACTCAGCACCTTTGTCTCTTACATCCCACCTTTTTTTGTGCCATTGGATGAGGTATTGCAGGAGATGCCGGGATATACCGAGGAACACATTGAGATGTACTTTAAACACCGTGCTTCAGAGGTGGTCACGCTGTTCGGGAAGAAGTACATCCGCCTTCATGGCGGCTATGCAAAGTTTGCCCTTGATGGCTGTGAAGTAGCAGAGGAGCGTTATGCACGCTACAAGCCGGATCCCAACGCTCTGGAACCTTTCATTGCGGCCTTCGGTGGTGTCACAGGGCGCTGGATGCCACTGAGGATTCTTCTAGAGCGAGCAGGACATGCAGCGGTAGCGTCACTGCCGTACAAGGGACCGGCCGCTATCATTTACTTCGCCCAGATGCAGCACGTTTTCTCCTTCGCTGTTGACCGCGATGGTGGATCGGTGCTCTTGCTTCCGCCCGGTTACGCTGGACTCGAGTGTGAGACGACACCGACACCGAAGAGTTGCAACTGCATCCTGCGTCTGGTGCCACAGGATGGGCAGGTGGACATTTGTCACATTGAGGAGGCAATACCCAGCGCTGTTCAGGAAGAGGTGAAGCTGTTCTATGGTACACTGATGCGTTTTTTTCAGTTTCATGCCGCCGTATTTTCCCTCAGTGAAGATGGTGCTGTAGTGATGCGTCGACGCTTTAAAGACCGACTTGATAAAGGCCAGCTGTCGCTGGAGGAACAACTTGAGATTGCCATACAAGAGCGAAATAAGAAAAAGATACGTTCGCTGCGACGCCGCATTGGCTTCCGGAACGATCCCTCGAACCCCTTTCACGACCCTGACAACCTTGCACGGGAGCTTCACCGTTACCTTCCCAAGAAGGGTCATGTCCCGCTCAAGATGTTCCTCAAGAAGAATGTCCCAGAGGAGCTTCTTAACTATCTCCCACGACGCTTTTGGAACTTCTTCAGCAACTACCCGCAGTACTTTCAGCACTTCGAGTATCAAATAGCGGGACAGTGGTGCTTGAGCCGCCCAGGGCAGCCGCTTCCGCGCGGCGTCATTCGGCAGGAGTTTTCAGAGGAGGACCTCGTACGGTTGATTGCCGAGTACCTCCAGCAGCGCGGGCCCAAAGCGTGCTCGTGTATCATTCTGCATATCCCACGTGGGGCGCAGGAGGCAGTGCGGAAGCGCTACGGTGGTTTGTTCTACCTCGTGCGGGGGTTCCCGCAGTACTTCAACGTTGTTCTGCCCGCCGAGGTGGGCAACGTGCGGAGTATGGCGATGGTACACCTCGTTGAGCTCCCTGGCGCGGAATTCGTGCACACCAGCAAGGTGTACAGCAGCAGTGAGGGGGACAGTGCAAGCGAGTTGGCGATGAACGAGGATGACGAAGAAGATGGAGATGAGAATGGCAACAGTGAGTCTCACGGCGGTGGGGCGTCGTGGTCGTGACGAATGCCGGACGAAAGTTTTATTCACATCCGCAGGAGAGAAGGCGTGAAAGAAGGGAAAGGGGGTGCGGGATTTATTTTTGCGCCACTTATTGCTTTGTGTCGCTTCCCCTCATCCTTATTGTCATCCTTTTTTTCTGTTTTCGTCCGCCTTCTCTCTCTCTTTTTCTATGGCTGTATGTGTCGGGGTTGGTGTTTCACTGCAATCTTGTGGATGATATTCTTCCTTTTTCTTTCTTTGTCTTTGACTTTGTGTGTGCTTTCACACGCATTCATGCCGTGCCCGTGCATGGCGAAACGAGCACAGAGTGAAGGAGGCGGGGTGTCTCGGATGGCCGTTGTCTGGTGAGGTGAGCCCTGTAACACGCACACACACATATATATATATATATATAAGGTCGGCGAGAGAGAGAGAGAGAGGACAAAAAGAGAGGGAGTGTGGGGAAGAGGGGGTGCAAAGGGAAGGTAACGTATGCAAGTTGACCTTTCCCACAGAAACCTCATCGACTTTGACTCCTCTGCCTTCTGCACAGAAGACGAGCGGGAAGCACTTCGCTCCATTACCAGGCTAGACATCTCCTTTAACAGCATCTCCTCCCTCCATGGCCTGCACTGGCTCTCCACTCTAACAGCGTTGGATGTATCACACAATAGTGTTGCATCTCTGCGTGGACTCCCGTTACCTCTGCGGCAGCTAAACGCCTCGTTTAACGTACTTAGTGACGTGGAATGCCTGTCACCGCTTCTTCAGTTGGAGGTGCTGGTCATATCACACAATCAGATCACTGGTCTCAGAGGCATACCGGCAACGGTGCGCATACTTGACGCCTCTAGTAACCGACTCACGTCGCTCGCAGGTGTGGAGAGGTGCGCAGCCTTGGAGGAGCTGCAGGTTCGGCAAAACATGATTCAGAGGGCTGAAGGCCTCGAAGCCCTCAACTCACTTCACTTACTCAAGGCACTTACGATAACAGGGAACCCTGTTACATGTAGTCGACGACACATTTCGGCGGTTTATGCCATGTTACCAGTCGGTTTGCAGGTTGTGGATCTTCCATCGACGTCAACGACGATGCATTCCTCTACAGTGTCAACTCCAAACAATGTTGTGCGTGGTGGTAATAGTGGTGATATAAGCCCCGCTGCATCCCTCAACACCAATACGGCGAAAGACACCATAAATATCTCTGGTGTTTCATCTGCTAGCACAGCGAAGACAAGTCAAGACGTCTCGAGCCATGGGAGTCACGCGCATCCCCCAGCATCTTATTGCCTTGTGTCACCGCAGAAAAACGGGGTAGATAAGGATGCAAAGCAAGAGCGTCAGAGCGGGAATATGACCCCATGGCTTGCAGAGGGAATCTCGATGGCAGACCTCCACTGTTCCACCCTGCCCGAGAGTGTTCCCCTCCTCTCAGGCACTGCTGCTTCCAGCAGCGTGAGTGTTTCGAGAAACACAAGCATCGTTAATTCTTCCCGGCAAGTGGCTTCAACGGAAGTAGATGTTTCTGTGCCTAGCATTCGCGCCCAAAGGCTAACGCAGTCCGCGCTGGAGTGTCTACAGTCGGAGCTCGATGAGTGCCGGAGAATGTGCTCATTTTACAATAAGGAAAATGCAGAGCTGCGTCTGAGTGTTCAGCAGCTGCGATCCACAAATGAGAGATTGGTGCAAGCCAATTCGACGCTGTTGGAGAGGAACAGGCAGTTGCAGCTTGCATGCGCCTCAAATCCTTCATATAGGCAAGAACTAGATGTGTCTGGTTCCCCTGGTGAGAAGAATGTTGTGGATAACGGCCCATCACGTCCTTCCTCAATTCAACAACTGGTAAAGCTCTCCCATGATGAGAATAATGGAGTTGAAGTGCGAAACTCAGGGGGGATTCATTGTCAAGTGGAAGATGCATCAGGAGAAGCACCATCGCTGGAGGAGAAGGCCGAATTGCGCCGCGGGGCTCGTTCATTGGCCGCACTGTTCATGTCCCTCGTGCCAACAGCAGCAGCAACTCAGCCGTCATCGGCTCGTAGTTTTTCTGCTGATGTTAGTGGGCGTGATCACAACAGAGACAGTGGTCGCCGCATGATGAGCTCTCCGTCCCGCGGAACTTATACAAACAATAGTCACTCCAACAGTATCAGTGACTCGCAGCTCTCTAGTGCGAATGGTGGAAGACGAAAACGTCGCACTGTCTCGTTTGGTGGGTTCGCGTATTATTCACCCCCGCAGTGACAGGTGTAGATGGCATCAACCTTAGATTGCAGAGTTTGGAGTAGGCTGTATATGTTTCGGTAGCTGTGGATATTCCTTCCATCTTCATTGTTGAATACGGATGCCCACTCATGAGAAATGCGTCAAATCGGCGTAATCTCATTCATTTTGCTGTTCTTACATTTCTGATTTTGTTATTGCTGTAAGGCAGTCAGGAGATGTCTCGCCCAAATTCTGCATGGGGGGAAGGAAAGAGCCCGCGCCACACAAGCAGGCATTGCGCAGCGGAGGGCCCCACAAACTGTGTGATGCTACATGCATTTGAGGAGCACGGTTCCGTGCCCATAACATGTGTCGCCGATTTATACGGATCGGCTGGATCATTTGGCCAGCTACAGAACCTGGAAGCCCTCTCTGCCAGCGCCGAGGGGGCTGTGACAAGGTTTAATGTGTGGAATGGGAGGCCGACGTCAATGGCAAGCTGTACAGGTAAAGCGCCAGTGACTGCAATGCTCATGGTGCCAAAGCATTCGTTGGTGTGGTGTGGGGATGAAAAGGGCTCTGTCACCGTGTTTCAATTACCTTCGTGTGGGGGATTGAACACTGCAGACCGGTCTCCTCTTGCTAGCAGCACTCATTGTCGCATGTGTCATGAGTCTGCGGTCGTGTCCTTCGCTACAGACGGTGACGCATTTGTGTACAGCGGATCTTCAGATGGAAGCCTCTTGTCGTGGTCGGTGCAGGAACCTTTTCAGTTCCAGGGTCATGTTGGGCATCACACGGGGGAATTAGCCCATATTCTAGCCGTTTGTGGTGGTTTTCTTGTTTCGGTCGGACCGGACTCTTCTGCAGTTCACGTCTGGCCAGTGGGTGAGAAGCGAGCGATGCAGGAGCCGTTCGCTCTCAGAGGTCACACAGATGGTGTGCTTAGTTGCCTCCACGTTGGTGGTGTGTGTCTCTGGAGCGGTGGGGAAGACCGCTTTATTCGCGTGTGGGACCTCGGGGACCCTGTCCACCTCAGCTGCCGTTTGGTCACCCCTAGTTTGACTGCAGTAAGAGCAGACGCGGTGCCGAGTTGCCTGTCAAATGAGGAGACGGAGCCAGACGAAGAGGAAGAAGGGGACGACTCTCTGCAAGATAACTCAATTCGAATGCTTGCTGGGCACAAGGAATCCGTCGTTGCACTCCGCGAATCCCGTGGAATTGTATTTTCGTGCGACGTCTCTGGGGTGATTCTGGCGTGGAATGCCAATCGTTTTTGGCTTTTGCATGCCTTTCGGGCACCACTCGGAACGCCGCTACCGAAACCTCCGTCTGGTGTTGCAACTGTTAGCGCTTTTGGAAGTAATGATGGCGAAAAGAGCGCTGCTTCTGGTGTTGGCGAAGTGATTCGTGGGGCACGTTGCCTAAGCTTTGTGGAGGGCTTCTTCTGGATTATCGACACACCCAGTGGCCCACGGAGCCTTTACATGCCCAGCCACCCTCGTCTGAGGAAGGCACTGTCTGACGGCTCGACAGATGCTGTTCTCTCCTCGGATGAACTAAAGGGTGAGGACAGACTAATGGCTAAGTTTGGAGTGTATATGCGTTATACAATGGACCTTTTCACACAATACACTGAACTTCGCAATGAGGCCTTTTTTCATCATATTTTCAACGTCGCCCCCCAGCAGCAGCAGCAGCAGCAACATGAAGAGGAGGCATACCAGAGCCGTGTTTGGTGTGGAGTGGGATCACTAAAAACCACGTCTCCACACAGCAACCCCTCTGGAGAGGAGAAGGAGAACGAATCTGTTGTTGCATATCGGCCATTGTGTGAAAAGTGTTCTGAAGTGGATAGAATTCAGGTGATGCGGGTAGCGTTGGAGAAGGAACGTGCTCTCTTCGCCACTAAACGAATGGAAGAGGAGAAGCGTTTGTGTATGGAGCGACAGAAGCTAGCCGAGGAAAGAGCACGCCTTGAGGGTCGTGCTCAAGCGCTGAGTCGCTTGCAGACAAAGCTTATAGAGTCTAAAAGACATCAAGTGTGTGCTGGTGCCGAGTACGAGAAGTTTTTACAGTCCATAAGGAAGCGAGAGTTGGAACGCGAACACCAGTTGGCCAGTGTCAGCACCGAGCTTTCATATCTTCGGCTCAAGTATGGTGACTGGAGTGGTGCGCACGAAGAAGGCTTTTAAAAAGGCATATTTCGAATGAATGCGTCCTATGCATCGCGAGAGAATGGATGTGCATTCTGCAAACCGCTGATTCGTTGTACTAATTTCGATGCCTCGTCAAGCCCATGCTACTGTTTCTTATTCTGCTTCCACTGTCTTTGCTTTATTTCTCGAAGTACGAGTGGATCCGCCCGCCTACTGACGGGAATTCACAGACGTAGCTCACATTCCCAACACATACACACACCAGAGAGAGACGCATAAGTGTGCGCCTACACAGTCTCTCAAACACTAACCCGCTTAATACAGGAAGTGAGGATGAGGCTTCACCGCATTCTTCGAAGTCTTCCCTTTGAGCCGATGGCTTTATCCACTTTTGAAACCATAGAACGCGCAGCGGCATCTTCGAGCGCCATGGCGCCACCACAGGGATGTGCCTCACATGGCCCACCCTACTTTATCTCGCCGAAGCACGATGGGGTGCGCATTGTATCGTATGTGAGTGAGCGTGCCGAATCATTGAGGTCAACATGTTTCTCTAGGTTTGGGCGGCCTGTTCATGGCATGTTCTGGATTGAAGAAGAACTGCGGTTGCTTCGATGGTTGTGTGGCGACCCACGGCTTGCGTTGGATGGTGAGTTGTACATTCACAAGCAGTCTAATGGAAGATCAAAGGGCGAAAGTGGTGCCAAAACAGGCTTCTTGGCAGTTGCAGCGTTGGTGCATCGCCTGCGTGGGCCCAAATCCGCTTGTTCAACAGAAGAGGAGGTACTCAACTACGTTGACTCACTCCCCCGTTTCTGTATCTTTGATATCGTCTCCTATCAACCGTCAGAGAGTCTGAGTGTGGCAGGTGAAAACAGCGGTCGAGGTCTCTCGCAGATTGAGAAGGAGCGGGTGCTTCTGCTCCGTGAAGTGATGAAAGCGAATGAGGTTTGTAATTTGGAGATGCTTCGGGTTATTCCCAATTACTCGGTCTTTTCGCAGCGCCTTAAGGCGATGAACTTCTTAATGTGCCTTCTGCAGCGGGTGCGTGCTTCCCCTATTCTGTTTCCGGGAAAATTTGCCCAGCAGTCGCATGAAAGAGGTGAACAAAAGCGGTCGGAGTCCCTTGTGGGTGCAACTGGCGTCGGCGGCGAGTATGTGCAGCTCATCCAGTACTCGATGCTCCGTTCTCTTCAAGATGCCAAGCGTGTGTACCTCAAGAACTACGTATCTAACGGGTACGAGGGTGCCGTCGTTCGAAGTGCGGCTAACGTATACGAGGTTCGGGAAAAGGAAAAGGGCATATTGCTCGGGCTCCTCGATCCTCTTCTTGACAGCGATAAGCGGCTCGACATCACCGCCACAGCGTCTCGTGGTTTGAAACGCGGCTTACAGCGCACGGCGGCCCCGTCGCCGCCTCCGCTTCTGCTGCTGCACACATACGCCAATGACGAGCCTGTCATCCCTGCAATTGGTGGCGGTGTGGCGGACGCGGCCGAGATACGGCAGTGCGAAGCGGAGGAATCAAACCACCAAGAGGTAGTGAGAGTTGCGGTGAGGCGGACTAAGCAGAACCCCCGACGCAGCACCACGGTGGTGAAGCTTCTCCCCTTCTGTGACAAGGAATACGCTATCTTGAAACCGCTGCTGAAGGTGCCGTCGACAAATCCGCGTGCTCGGAAACTTATTAGCATTCCCCTCTCTTCGTTTAAGGGGGGCCACAGTGTTGTGTCGACGCCGCGAACACGTCACGGAAGGGACGCATCGAAGGAGAATGACAAGAGTAAGGTGGTTGTGTTCTACGGGCTACAGTGTCTCAGTGAGACGGGCCGTGTGTTTAATGTCCCGTTGCCTAAAATGGACGTGGCAAAGCAACGTCTTCTGCTGGACCATCTCCTCGATGTCACAGGAGCCTCAAATAAAAAAGGAAAATCGGGCCCCAGACGGGTCTGTCGACGCTCACTAACAGGATTGTATGCAACAGTGAAGTACGCGACGCTTACAGAGTATGGTATACCCCGTTTTGGCCAAGTGAAAGCCATACGTGGTGGTAAAGGTTGGTTTATGTGAGTTTATTTTGCCCACACTTCCCAATTACCTGTTGGTGCCCTATACATGCACACAAATCACATTTGTACACCGTTTGATTGTGTGCAATATTCGGTTGTTCTTATTGTTGGTAGTGGTGTGATTGTTTTTTTGTTTTAACCAATGTTGGTGCAAGTGACATAGAGAAGGAAAAACTGGAAAGCGTATTGAGTGTGCTGTGTGTGTTTGCGTTTGACTTTTTTTTGTTAACCTGCTCATATGCATTCCTCGGACAAAGCGCTGCGTCGTGTTGTGGTGTTACTGCTTCCCCTGTATACTTTTTTGATTTGCTTGTTATTGTTTCTGTTGTTTTGTTTGCTCGTTGCACGCTTACATTCACCTAATAAGAGTAACAGGGGAGGATACACACATGGGGAAGAAAGCCACATTTGAGCGAGCCCATCAGCGGCAGGTGCGCCACACAAGGGAGCAGCGACAGCGAAAGTCAGCTGCTGTTAAGGCGATGCGGCGTGGCGAGGATGACTCTGGGCGTCTTATTCAATATACGACCACGTGCAGAAGCCTCGTAACGGATGAAAAGAAGGCTATGCTTGTGGAGCAGTTTGCTCAAGCATGCCGACTACCTGCCGCATGTGAAGATCTGTGCATGCTGCTGCGTCAAGTAGCTGGAGAGTACAAACAAGCTGAGGCCACTCGCAAGCGCCTGCGGGATGACAACGCCGTGAGCAAGGCAACTTTTGAAAGCATAATCGATGCTTTTCTCCAGCTTGAACACCAAGCTGCCACTACGACAGATGAAGACGATGAGGAAGAACCATTAACTCTTCTAGAGGAGGTTATTCAGGATGAATGTGGGAGCCGTGTGGTGTGTGCCTTGATAGCCGCTGTGGATGCTTCTGCGAGCGATGAGAAAAAGGCTTTGGTGCTTGATGCTCTGATTAAACTGTTCGAGGAGAATGAAACTCTCTATGAGCATTATGTTGCCTGTAAAGTAATGAGTGCGTTGGTGCTGCATGGTGATCATGCAATTCAAGAACGGGTCCTGCAGGTTTTGAAGTACCACTCTGGAACAGTTGAACAACTGCAGTTACAGCTTCGAAATCGTCATTCAGCTGTTACGATACATCACCTCATCGAGCAACTCCCTATTGAAAGCATTGCGTGGTTAAGCGACACGCTGTGTGCCACCGATTGTATTGGTGGAAAAAAGAAAAACAAAACTAAAATGGTATGTGATGATGAGGACAACCTTCAAGAGACATTGATTTCACTGATTCTCGACCCCGTTGCATCTCCAGTCATGAGGGCGCTCTTCCTTCGCTCTGCCAATCGTGCTGCATTTCTGAGAAAGATTGAAATTACAACACTCCTCACGACCAAGCGAGGTTGTAAGTTCTTGCAGGAAACGTTATCCCCTGAGCTACCGAATTGGGCCCCTGAGGAAGCGATGGCTACACTGGACGTGGTTATGGCTGCTTGTGAGGCAAATCTTGTCGAGATGTGCACCTCTTCTGATGCTAATTTTGTTGTACAGGCTGTTATTGGTCTTATTCCACTTACAGGGGATCCAACAGCTGTTGCAGTGCGTTTTAAAGGAATTTTGAATGTGATAGGACCGCATTTTTCTACCTTGTCGACGCATTACATTGGGGTGCATGTGGTGGTGGCACTCGTCGGGGCAACGCTCTCGCTGTCCACGAAGGCTTTAGCCGAAGAAATAGCATCTATGCTTGTCACGCGAAACAATGTGGCCGATATAGTGCGCGATCCTCATGGCAGTCTGATTGTGCGGAAGCTCTTGCCATTGTGTGCTGTAAAAGACTCCAAGGTGGGGCAACTGCTTGCCAGTACCATTGAAAAGGACATGACATCTTTGATGTATGACGCCATTGGGAATTTGACGGTGCAAGAATACATCAAGGTACGAGGCGCAGAAAATCTTGCTCGCAGTTTGATGAAGAGTGGTGAAGAGCTGGCAAGTATGTGTCAGCATGCATATGCCTCCCATGTTGTTGGGTGTATTTTTGATAATGTGGGAGCGTCGACACACTCAAGCCTCTGCAATGCGTTGCGACCTCATGTTGTTGTGTTGTCAAGGCATGTGAATGGACGGTTCGTTGTTGAGAAGGCGCTTGGTGCCAACCGCGACATTTGTGATCTCCTTCTCCGTCATTTTACGGCGCTTGCATGCGAAAAGGGAACACAGCATGTTTTGTGCGCATTGGTGTCGAATTTGGATCAGCGTGGCAAGCAGAAGGTGGTGGATTTGATCATATCTGGACTTACAGAGCTGTCCACCCAACAATGTAGCTCGATTGTTTTGCAAAAGCTCATGCAGGCAGATGAAGTGGTGCTGCAAGCAGTACAGAAGGAGCTGACGCAGAAGCCAAGGTTGCGAAACAATCTTGCTCAAAACTTCTTTGGTAAGTTTGTTGTGCAAATAACTGATGCAGTGGGGAATTGAGTTTTTTTGTGTGCCCCTCGAAGAGCCTTAAGGAGCTTCTATGCCCATAAAGAGAGAAGCGAAGGAGTACGATTAACATTCACATTAGGAAGAAGACGGAAATATCTATTATTTATTTATTTGTTTATTTATATATCGGATGCTAAAAATGATGATAAGTGCATTTGTGTTTCTCAATATTTTCTTCTCTTCCCCTATGTTTCTTAGTTTTTTTTGTTTGCTAGGTTTAATTTCTTTGGCTGGACAGTGTTGTGAATATGGAGGGCGCTCTTTTTAACGCCTTGCCGCCTGGTTCCGAAGAGGCGGCGGCACTGGAGGCTTCACAGGTGGAGGCGCTAGCTCGCCTCAGCGCGTTGCGCGGGGAGCTCGAGGAGCTCTTGACACGATCCGCTGTACTCCGCAAGGATTACGAAGACCTCGTCCCTCGTTGTCGCCGCACCGTGCGGGCGATCGGGGATGAACTGGGCCTGTTGGAAAAACGCGTCGCGGAGTGTCACGGACGGGCCCTCGACCTTCAGACAAGTTCCCGAGGGGATACTTAGGATATATATATTTTTTGCTCTTTGCTGGTGTGTGGGGGGGTGGGGGCGGAAGTGCCCCTTCCTTCTTAAATTTGTTTGCTTCTTTTCCCAACCCAAACTCCCGTTTTTTTTGGGGGGGAGGGAGGGGGGCCGCCCCGGTGCGGATCCGGGCTTCTCTCCCGCCCCCGCTGAAAACAGTAGCTTCGATATGGGGCTCTGGGTATTGCGCCATGATGGTGGTATACAGTTGTCGTACGGGGTGTTC